GGATGGATGGATGGATGGATGGAGTAGAAAGCTTTCTCACCCTATTGGCTGAGGTAGAGAGGAAAAGTTAAGTTAATGAAGATCTATAAAATATGCATGAGAAACATTTTAGACAAACTTGTTTTTAATGTAACATTATCTACAGAAACTAGCAGGTAATTTGCATTCAAAGAAGTTCAAAAACAATCCACTGGAATTTGTTTTCAGGTTAAAAGATGTTTTACTTTCGATGCAGGAAGCTTTTTCAATTCAAAATGTTGGAATCAGCGTTGAGTTTGAAGATTTGCATTAAAAAATCAAACCCTCACAGTAAAAGGAAGTGAACTTTAACCCAAACTCCTGTAGTTTCCTCATCATCTCTTCTGTTTCCTTGTCCTTCAGAGTCGTTCTTCCCTTTCAGCAAAACATAATTATTTCATAACCGTGTAGGGAAAAAGGATTTCCTTAAAAGTTGCTTGGCGAATAATTAAATGATCTTATTTCCTGTCCTGGGGGAGGTTTATGTTGATGTCTTTGTTTTTTGGGAACTCCTTAGAGTGTTTTCATCCTCAGGAGTAGGTTTCCCAGGCGATGGATAGGATGACAGCGGCGGGAAACTAGATCCAGCAAGTCAATCACCCGAGGTGTTTGTTCGACAGCTCACCTGCCCTAGCGGCCCCGTCCCGCCAGCATCTCCATGGCTCTGTTGTTTACAGAGAAAGGTGCAGAAGACCGTTGCTCTGAAGCTTTCACCTAAACACCAAGAAAACTCTTTCTGCTCTGAGAAACGCTGACTCAGCAAACTGATATCTGTTTAACTTGGTAGGAAAGATGCAGATTTACCATGAAAACATGAGAAAAGGAGGTTTAATTTCCGCCAATCTTATCTGACAGGATCTTTACCAAAACAGACTTCAGAGTTTGAGTTAATATTTCAATAAATAAAACCTCAAAATAGAGGCTTTAGCTTTTATTACTGCCTTACAATATTTTAACAAGTCCTTCGATTTCACATCTTCCCATCTATTTTATTTGAATTTGATGCAATAGATGATAAAATGTACCAGAATTTTGTGGAGGAATAAAATCTTTAATATATTTCTAAAGACTTCAAAATGAAAAAAAAATCCCATGGAAAGCTAAGGTTTAGTTTAACCCTCTATAGGATTCATTGAAATACTATGAAAATCCAAATTTCAAGCCAAGATCGAACGACAGGACAAAATCTAATTTTGTAACATTTATAAAATATTTATATTTTCACGACAAAAATCGAGGATTGTGTCTCCTTGAACCCCAGTCGGCCTCAGCAGATGGCCGCTCACACTGAGCCTGGTTCTGCTGGAGGTTTCTTCCTGCTATAAGGGAGTTTTTCCTCTCCACTGTCGCTACAAGCATGCTTAGTATTGCTTGGCATTCTTTTTTTTATTCTTTTTTTGTTCTTTTTTGCATTTTTTTCTTTTTCCTACTTGCTTTGATTCTGTTTTATTTTCCTGTATTTTAATCATGTAAAGCACTTTGTATTGTCTTTGTACTGAATTGTGCTATACAAATAAATTTGCCTTGCCTTGCCTTGCCTAGTGTGAGGGATTGCCTTCGCGTCAATGAGTCGATGTAATCAACTGGTTTTCATTTGGTAGACCAAACCAGATGAAAGTGCGCATTCAGCGTCTGCTCTTCCGATAATGCAAGCGTAGAAGAAGAAATGTGCTGTTTACCTGTGCAAAGAAAGAAACAACGAAAGAAAAATGTCTGAGGACTTCAGTGTTGAGGAAGAGCATGAGTTCTTTGCCGAGCTGAATGCGCACTTTCATCTGGTTTGGTCTGCCGCGGTTTCCGTAGCGTCGTGAACGCACTTTTAGGAAATCCTATACACTACTGTTTATGCTCTAAAAACATTCTAAATGACTTAGTTTCGAGTAAATTCTGGACGCTACCCACTCAGGACACTTGGAATACATTGGACGAGCAGTATGGAGGAATATTGACACGTTTTTTGTGGACTTTTATGGACCTTTCTGCCTCGGGCGCCATAGACCTCCATTATTTGAATGTCAGCAGACAGCAAGAAGCCTCCCAGATCTCCAGATGCATTTGAGATATCAAAAAAGTACTCCAGAGTGTTGTTCAGCATGGGGGTGAGTAGAAAATGAAGGCTAATCATGTTTTGGGTGTACTATTCCTTTAAGTACAACAGTTTCTAAATGAAGAAAGACTTTTAGCTGAAATGTAAACCAAAAGGTGGCTCTACAAAGTCTTCCTCTGTGGGACTGAGTTCTCCCACATTATAGCTTAGTTATGGTGGAGTGGCGGTCAAGTGGTTAGAGCATTGGGCTTTCAATCCTGAGGTTCTGAGTTCACACCCCGCTCCCACAGACTGCCACTTCCTGAGCAAAGACCCTGAACCCCACACTGCTGCCTGGGCCCAATGCTTCCCAAGGGAATGGGTTAATTGCAAAGAGTTCATTTCTCCAATGTGGGATCAATAAGATTATGAAGAAATTGTCTTTATCTGTAAGCCAGACACGTTTAGATATGAGGAAGATTTAATTAAAATTAAATTAGAAAGGTGTCACACTGCCCTTGTTCTGGTGTTTTGCAGCAGACTTGGGTTTCCATGGTGATGAAGCAGCCTCTATCAAACATTAGAAGAGTTTCCCTCCTCAGTCTCTGTCAGGACCTCAGATCCTCCCCGCTGAGCAGGACGCCGGGCGTGTCTGCGCTCGGCTGATGGGGATTCCGGTTTTTCCAGTCAGCTCCTCCTGGTTTTAAAGCCCATCAGGTCTGAATCCTCCTCAGTCTCACTTCAGCAGCCGATCCGAAGTAATGGCCTCAAACACAGCCATGATGGGCCACCTGCCCAGCGGCGTGGGGATATGCACCACCATCCCGGACATCCTCTACGTGCCAGAACTGGTAAGAAAGCGCGTCAGCTGAGGATTTAACAGCGAGTTCCAGAGGAGCGCGTGTTTTATTTCTGTTATTTTATTCCGGATTGTTTTTCATTAGGATGCAAAGGGCGCACAGATAGATGGACACACGCAGCTTTTACGCACGGACCAAACCTCCCGCGCTCCTCTTAAAAAAAAAAAAAAAAAATCTTTATTAGAATTTGGTCTGTTCTAAAAACCTGGCAAAAAAAAAATTACAAAATAAATCTTCCTTTTCTCGCTTTTACCTTTCATGTGCTTTAAAATTGAAAGCCACGTTTACTCTCACTCCTTTAAACAAGTCTGACCAGTTTTTGTTTTTCAGTGGCTATTTTTGCTTCCTTAAAAAAAACATTGTTAAAGAGCAGAAAAAAACTAAAAAGAAAAGCAAAAATATTTAGTAAAAACAGGGATGGTGAGTCTGACTCTATGGGGAGTCACCTTCCATCACTTAGAAGCCATAAAACCATGTTTCAGTATTTTTGGTCCTGAAAACATTTGCTCTAAACCTCCTTGACCTTTGTTACCTTTCAGCATTTATAAATGTTAAAGGCCTCCATTTAAATTTAGTTAAATTGATCCTTTATAGGATAGTTATAAATGTAAAGTAAAGCATATCTGGCAAGAAAAGAATTAAGAGAAGGTTGATGTTAGACTCAATCATGATGTCATTTAATTGGTTGATAGATATTTTAGTAATTTGTGGGGTAAAATCGAGAGCCAGTTATCGCAAAAAAAAGATAAAGTCTGTACATAAACGTGATAAACAATAGAATTCAATATTTTTTAATACTAATTAGTGTTTTAATATTAGTTATGGGTGTTTTGCTCTTCATAGAGTTACAATGAGAGCATAATAGGTTTAATATAATCAGGTTTTCTGCCGATGTGGCCAACCTGCTATCAAATATCATTCCTGGTGTTATAAAGATAGTACCTTAAACAGTTTTTTAAAAGTTTAAAAGCTAAGTTTATCACATTTTGTGGGTCAGTAGGGATATATAACTAGTTTCTGGGAAGATTCTGTCTCAAAGTAAATGTATCTAAATGGATAAAGCAATCATCCTTGGACAGTTGTGGGTTTAAATCCTGCTTTCTCCTCAATCTCTTCAGCTTTATCTGTTTAGACGAAAACTGAAAATCTGTTACAGAGTGAATCTAATCAGTTTATTCACTAGTCAAATTAAACAACAGGGGTAAAAAAGAAAAACAATGAAGGATATATTTGCTAAAATGAGCCTGCAGAACAGAAAAGAGGTATAGAAAGAAAGGTTCAGTGTGAAGGAAGTGACGTTGTGGAATGCTGCTGACGCGCTGGTGTTAAATGGAGCATGAACTCACATAGAAACACAGAAAACAGAGCGAACGAGCAGGTGGAGTTGGACAGTGATGGCAGCAGGTAGAGGAGGGTCGGCCTCCATGAATAATGCAGCCTGTCAATCAGTGAAGGTGTAGAATAAACGCAGGCAGAGACGCCCGGCTCCCTGCTGTGGACCGAGCTGGAAACACTGAGCGGACAAAAGCTGAGGATCCTTTAAGAGACGCCTCAGGAAACTAAACTTAACTGAGCCTTGTTATGTAGCCTCAAGGTTTTATGGACCTTTTCTATTAATTGGTTTTCTATAGATTGATTGATTTTCATCAAAATAATCAGAACAAGTGATGTTCATGTGTCTCGGCATCACAGCATGACAAGAAATGATTTGTTTGTTTTTTCATCAGCCAAGCAAACAAAAAGGGACAAACATGTCCTCCATGCTGGTAAAAAACTGTACTCCCACCCAGATGCATGCTGGTCCTACCATTGACAGCCTGTTTGTAAACTTCCTTCACCCAAATTATTCATAACTTACCAGAAACAAAGAAACATAACTAAATAACCAAAAATCTTAATCTCCAAACAGATATTAAACAATAAAGTAGAATAAATAAACTTAGATTATCCACAAAAATAAAAAACTTAGTTAATTATTAACCAAAAATTATTGGCTCCTACAAAGACTGTTGCCAAATAATAACATGATGGTTTAAATTCCAAAAAAAGAATGTTAAAAACAATCCAATGGACTTTTTTTCCAAGCTTTTTCAATTCATAATGTGAGGAATAGGGCTAACAAAAGAGGCCAAATGACCCCCATTCCAAAGGGGTTTGCATGGATTTGTCAGGCTACTGTATAAAACCTGCAACTCAAATCTTTTCATGATGTTTTGAATTGAAAAAGCTTCCTGGATGGGAAGCGAAACGTCTTCAAACTTGAAAACAAAATCCAGTGGATTGTTATGAACTTTCTTTTTCTTTATTTTTGGAATGACTATGAGCTGGATGACTGAGAATCTTCAACAAACATGATGGTTTAAAGTTATTTAACTTTAATTACCCACTAAAAGGTAGAAAGTATTTAAAAATGATTTACATGATGTTTCATCTTACAATGTTTCCATTTTTAAAGGAAGTCTTTTTATGCAATCTTCTGTGGTCGGTGTTTGTTGTTCAGACTACATGCCATCTTTGACAAAAATATGACATGAATGAGGAAGTCTTCCTCTGCAGCAGTAAGAGCTGATGGTTCAACGCTCTCTGCTGTCTCTCTGCTGTCCCTGCAGATCTTCGGCGGTCTGGTTTGGATCCTGGTGGCCTGCACCTACGTGGTGCCGCACAACCCTCAGGGCTGGGTCATGTTTGTCTCTCTCTTCTGCTTCATCATGACCTTCGTCTGGTTGGTGGTGTTCGCCTGCGGGAGTCACCGCAACTCCAGCGGCTGGGCGGCTGCAGTAAGTTCTGACTCAAAGAGAAGTGTTAACACATCAAAAACTACAGACAGATTCTACATGGCGTTGTTGTAGATGCCATTTGCTTTTAAGATAAAAATAAAAATGCTAATATGAACTCTTAAGCATCTCAATGACTTTTTTTTGTACTGTAATGGCCGCCTCATTTGTCAGATCTAAATACAATAGAAAGGATTTAGGCTGTTGTTGAATGAGAAATAATATCTGTTAGAGAATGTTTCACCGTTTGGATCTATGGAGTGAGCAGATGAGTCAGTTTTAATGACAGGAGCAGGTCCAACCTGTTTATACAACAGCTTTTTCATTTTTCCCTTTATACCATTGTTTTTTTTGTTGTTGCATTTTTTCATGTTCTATCCGGTTCAACAGCCAGAGAAAAAAAAAAAAACACAAATGTTCCAAACAATAGATCAACGTTTGTGAATGTTTGATTTTCTGCAGCATTTATCAGTTATTGACATCTATCTGTCTTCTATCTTCCTCCATCAGGACTTCATCTATCATGGCATTGCCGCCTTCTTCTACCTCAGTGCCTCAGTAGCCTTGGCTAAAGTGACCATGGACATGAAAACAGACCCACCCAGTCTAAACTACAAGCTGGATATCTCTGCAGTTGTAAGTATGGTTGCTTTATGGGGGACAGTGTGGTATAGATGATTAATGTGACGTCTATAAAGTTGCATAAATGGAGTTAAGATGGTACGATGGAGTATTAGGGCAAGGTTAGAGATTTTTCATTTTATTTTGACGATAAAGTCGTAATATTATGGGAATAAAGTCATCATACAGCAACCCATTTCAGAAAGAAAGCTTGGAGCTCCGACCAGGAGATGACGACCGACCAGCTCCACTAAGAAGCAACAACTTTGACATCCTGCCCAGTTTGATGCTGTTTCTAAAAAAATGTCCTTATTCGTCAAACCGATGCTAAAGTATAACTTCACATGATGCTCCACATTCCTCATTTTAGGGAAGACAGTGTTTCTTGTAAAAGTTGTCATAAAATAAAACTTTATTCTTATAATATAAGGATTTTATTCTTGTAATGTAACATCTTTATTCTCCTAATTTTACGATTTTATTCTCATAATATTTCGAGTTTATTCCCATAATGTTACGACTTTATTCTCGTAATTTTACGATTTTTTTTCTCATAATATTACGAGTTAATTCTTGTAATGTTACAATTTTAATCTCCTAATTTTATGATTTTATTCTCATAATATTACAACTTTATTCTCTTAAAGTTATGACTTTATTCTCATAATATTACA